TGCCTAATGTTCCCTGATGTTTGCTGCTGTCTAGTGGTGTAGCACATTATAAGCAAGCCTGGAGTGAATGCGCTAAATAGCACAAAATATTGCTAGACTGCTTCCAGGGATATACGATCATCCGTTCCCTTCGCAAAGCTTTTGCGTATTAGATGTAATGCGACCGAGAGAAAGCAAGTGCCAGAAAATGAGGAAGTATGCCAGGTGATTTCAGCATTTGTGAGCTTAAACAATTAAATAATCGTGAAACAAACAAAAAGAGCTCCATATGCGACGTGATTTTTGCAATCATGGCCTATGTTTTGAACTGGTGCTGTCAAAGTCTAATACCGGCTCTCAACTTGAGACAAGGAGACAGGCGTGAAAAATGTGGCGTGTTGTCAGTTACTTGAGCTCGTCTGTGTATTCATGGACGGGACTCTGGATTCGGTTGCGAGCAGAGTAGAGGCCGAGTGGCTGTCGACAGAGACGCTTTTACCGCATGGGGCACCCTGTGCAGCCTTAAAATTACGCATTCATTACGACACTGTGCATGATAATCGTCGCTTGTTTCGCCCATAACTCATGTCGTGCCCATGGTCTCGTATTCAGTCTTGGGGCATAAGGTTAGCGTTGCACAGGATAATGATGGCGGCGCGCGTTGCTGCTGATGGACTCATTTGTTGACTGTTCGGACGCAGCGCAATCACGTTTAGTGATATCAATTGCCATGCTTCCAAATGTGAAGGGTAGTCTTGGACCACCACTTATAATCTACAAAACATTCGGGTTGTAAATGATGGCTACATATTTGAGTGTAGTAGGAAGATGTATTAGGAGACGAATTACTCTGCCTGATTACTGCAAGCACCCTCCCTCGAACACCAACGGCAGCTGCAATTTCACGGAACGACAGCCGTACAGCGTATGAACGTGGAAGCCCTAAATGTCCCCATCAAAAGCGAAAATTGATTGCCGGCGGTGTTTGGCGTCTTCTCGCGTTGGCGGCGCCAACACGAATGGTGCAAGAAATCATCATTATGTGAAGACATTATCATATGACGTCACAGATCATGAAATTTTGTGGCGTATCGGAGGGTCACCTAAACTAATTGACAGCATCATACTACATCTTCGCATGGTTGAAATGGACCGATCACGAGGGCAGTGCATAACCAGCCGAGGGACAGAAAGCTAGCTTTGTCTCCAATCCTTGAAGCAGTAAACCACGTTGGGTGCAGAAATATCCGGGAGGGAAGTGGGAAATATATAATGCATTGAATGGGAAGAAAACGAAGAAGGTTCTTGCCTTTCAGTTGTATCAGGTGAATCCATTAGGAAACCTGTGAGTTTTTTTTTTTTAATCATCAGAACTATCGCTCACAAGAAACTCACCCACCACACTATATCTGGCTCCCTGCTCACCTTGGCTTGAAGGTCGGGGGCCTTCCTAATGTCAACGAGCTAGCTCACTCCAAGGCGCGAGGCTTCACTTACCGCGCCGGGACTTGTGCTTCTCAGACAGAGTAATTGGTTCCCCAACCTTCATTTTAGGGACATTTTGACTACATTCAACGAGATCACGAAGCACTATCAATTAGGCCGTAGGTCCTTTCCATTGCCACACGAAATGTTGTCTAGGCCACAGGTAATCACTCTTCGCATGCTTCAGACGGTAACATACCTTAGCATCATAACCTATAGCCATCACTCCGATATTTCAGAACTTTGTCTGGACTGCCACAATCGCAGTGATTTTAACCACATGCTCTGGAGGTGACCCCTTTTACTAAGAAAAAATGAAGAATTTCCCGAAAACTCCTCTTATTTAATGCTCACGGGACCGGTTCTCATACAACAACTCAAGACTGTCCAGAAGGCCTACGATGCGGTGGTGAGGCTGGGCCTCACCGTCCCTACGTGGGAGCGGCCCGCAATCCTACTCCTATAAAACGAGGGTGGAATCCTTCAGGACCCCAATAAAAGTTTTTCATACATCCATCACCAATGAGAAATAAAAAAAAGCAATCTGATGTCTTTCTGTCAGATGTGCAGAGTGGTACACAGCAGTATTATATCATACGATTAGATTACCTCCAATATCGTGCATATCACTACCTGTACCCGAGGAGAAGTAGCGCGCATGTTATCGACTCCTTTCGCCAGTAGTGGTCGCTAGTCCCGCCGTATCTTCATTTAAGACATTGTTTAAACCCCATGCTATTATCATCAGCTGTAGTTTTGAGTTTTGCCCAGTCCGTCAGCGCCACGGTGTCGATTTTGCGAAGCGCCAAGGCGGCCAACGAGCCATTTCTATTGTGCATGGCGCGAGTTTATCCTGATGTTTGAGGCATGTCGGTGGTTTTGGATTGCGGTTTTAACATGGAGGAATGAAAAAATGGGATTTTAAGGCGATTGAATACATCGATGCCCATTTTCGACCACCGACGCTCAAAAAGGGACGCGCACTGCACGACAACGACCATGTGTATATTGTTAATGAAGTGGGCACCGACATCGCAGCGAAGTGCTTGTCACAGCAAAGCAAGCATGCTTACAAATGTTGAATTCCACTTAAGCGCACAAGTACGACCGTATACGTTTCTCTCTATTACTCGGAAACCTCGAAAGCTGTTGAGCAGGAGCTGTCAACCGCCTCTCTTATACAGGGAAAAATATTGTCGAAAAGTAACCAGGATGATTCTAGATGGTGCTTTTTCACCGTTGTCGAAATGCCTCGAGCTTATCCTGGCATTCTCGTTAGGCTTCCACGATGAGAGGTCACTGGCGCTGAAACATTAAATTGTGAGCAATCAGGTGACACTCAATAACGCGAAATCAAACCGTGTGCAAGTGTGCGAGAGCGAAATGCAAATAAATATTTGAATACGCGATGCGTGATGAAGCAATCAGCTGACAATAACAGGAAAACAAAACGTGTGCGCGAGAGAAGCGGTAATTTGCGAATACACCACGTGTTTTCGCGGTGCACTCCAGCCTTATTTCTGTCGTACTAAGCGTGAGAAAGCCTCGGCATTAATGAGCACGTTCCAGCAGTCTAATCATCATCCTGGTGCTGAAAGGAGCGGCAAGGCACGTTGACAAATCAATACGCGGGAAAAATGTGCCGTGCGTTCAAGCTCTTACGACAATAGGTTTCACGAGTGACAACCACTGTGCGTGTTTTAACACACGCTTGTGAGCAGTTGTAACGTTACCGTGGGTTGCACGAATGCTTCCCGTTATTGTTCTTGCTCTGATGTCGTTTAACAAACAAGCATTTCCCCGAGGGTGAACATGGTTAAGTGCGAATGCACGGGGTGATACTATGAGGGGGAGTAAAGTTAAGATCCGTTGGCATTTGCCAGTGAGTTAACGTAAACTCCCCCGTGTGATCACATTACGATTCCCAGGAACCATTAGACCCTCTCGGGAAATCTTGGTGAGTTTACGCGTATATGCGAGAGGTAAATTGGCACTATAATGATGTTTATGCCCGCGGCCCGCTTGCGCTCGGCATCACGGGCCCTTCGCCCGCGCTGCCTTGACTTCAAACGGCGCGACATTTTCAACGACGCGTGCAATGCTCGCATTCGATTGCGTTGTACTCGTTGTTGGAGGTATCGTAGTCGAGGTCGATGCTTGTGACCTATGACGACTTGCCGATCTCGAGCAAGTCGTGGCCACGGAGCGGAGGGCGGAGCGCGCGCAATCACGTGGTGGGTGACGTCGCTGCGCCATTGCTACAGACGCTCTCCGCTCCTCGCGCCCTTGCTAGGGGAGAGGAGTAGGCGCATCGCGGTCGGCGGATTCAGGGTCGCTTATAAAGTGCATTCATACGTAAAATTCGCAAGGGCGACACTTACTTGACGCGCCGAACAGCGACGATCCACTTCTGCCGATGAGTTGCTTCCCACGGTCTCGATGGGAAGCGATACATTATGACGCCGCCATCCCCTTCTTTGTTGTGGCAATCCTTAATGCAGTGGTATATGAGTTTGTTCTTTTTTTTCCACCTCTGACAACGGAGTTGTCAACAGGCTGCGGTAAATCCATTGAAAAATGACGCGATGCTATGTTGTTCCGCCTGTTTGCAATGCGCACATTGGTGAAATGCCGCACGTGGGTTCTGATCAGTGCTGCTAGGCGGCGCGACGTATACAAGCAAACTGCATCGACTAGCAGTATACAAGCAGTTTCGCTTTGAAGAAGCCCTGCAGCACTTCTTCAGCTCGGTCAGAAAATGCTGCCGATCGGTGTTTGAAGCTCTTGAGAACATGCAAGTCAAGCATTATAGCGTGTTACAATTAATCCTCAAAGTGGGCTCCCTCTCTACCAGTGATGCTCCCAAGGTCCACAGCCGCTGGCCAATTTGAGCATCGCGAGCTGTATAGTTACTATGGCTGCAGCAAGATGCCGCCACGTGCCGGCGTGCACTTGTGATCGCACCTAAGATAAGCTGTGCATTCAAAGAAACAATTAAAAGAAAGTGCTGAAACTCGTGATGCACGTTGACAGAGGTCACCATGCCCACTTATCATGCCACTTCCTGCGAAGGCTTTTACCACATGAAGAAAGCAGAGCACTTAAAACAGTGCGGCGAATTCCTCTGCCCATACTTGATAAATTCTAGAATATTTCTTTTTTTGCAGCAGTCAATTCAGGAAGCAATATCCTCCATAAAAGTAGCCATTAGACAATTATGTGGAAGAATGTCGCAGGGCCCCTTCAAGCACAGTATTTCCATTATTTGCGTATGCTTGCCTTATGTGTTCCAGTCAGTCCTTATTACTCAGTAGATGGCCTTTTCTAGAGCAGGCTCCCTTTTCAGTTAGTGTTGTATGTCGTGAACAAGCTCCAGAGGGAGGTTGCCAATCATTAACTTTTTTGCTAGGCTATTAACCATTACACTTTCAAATAAAGTGTATTTTCTCATATGTGTTCCGAACATGCCGGTGATGCATACGTGCGATTCATACAGAACAGCCTAGCAAACTTGAGTGACTTGAGACAACAACAAATGTGCCATGAGGTCTTTTTATTCTAGCTTGCACAGAGTGAAGGTGTAACCTCTTTCACATCAGTCCGGACTAGCTTGTGACTAGGTTATTCCTGCTGCCCACATCTTAGGTCCAGCAGGCAACAAGTAAATAGAGACAGGAACAAATTCACACGTGGTCACTTGACCAGTAACAGCACTTTTAAAACCCTCCCCAAAATCTTTTCCTAGGTGGGCACAGTCACACTTGCCCATTGTACATAGGCATTACTTCAGCTGTGCTTTGCTGGTAGCATGGCCCAAAACTCTGAAGGCACAACTTCAAGGTGCAATACTTCGAAAGTTCAGAATTTCACTTGCAGTGGCAAGAACGTATTACACCACTCCATGTACTAAGTCCAGTGCTGTTGCATGTGTTATCTGCATCTTCCTGTAAAAAGCTGCACTGCCACTTCCTGACAAAAAGTTTTAACTGGATAAGTGTCGAAAGTTCTGGGCCACTGCAACTGAAAATTGAAGATAGTTGCAAAACATCTGTGCACAATAATATTTAATTATACATAGAGAAACCATTTTATAATCATTGTCAAATTATTGGTAATCCAACTTGAGAAAAGCCACTTCTGGTGACCATGAAGCAGCCTTGTGCATACATAAAACTTGAAGCATTTAAGTACTGTTGATTGCAATATTGTGATATGACTGTAGTGTACTTTGATTTCTTTTAAACAAGCAATATTTACAGCCAACACGTTTTGCATTGCATAGGCATCGGAGAACTTGCAGCACATTGGACTGCCTTGCTCACTGCTAAACCTAATTGGCTCTGAAAGCTATCACAGAAGATAATTGTTGCCTAGTATGCATGCCCATCTACATAATTAGCACTTGCAAAAGCTAATTGACCCCTCTGCAAGTGCTGGAAGAATATCTGCAGTCAAACATTGCCATATGTACAGAAACCAAGTGAATCCATGCATGTGTAGAGCTAGTCACGTGAATGAAGAAAAAAAAAAGAAGGAAGAAAGAAAAGAACATATTTAGAGACACTATCAACTAGATTCACCACATGTTCAAGTGAAGTTTTTTCAATGTGGAACAGGGAATAAAATCACGAAGTCTGAAGAACTTTTGAAATTGCTCAAACAGCATAAAACAACGCTATATACATTGTTCCCTTGCGGACTTTTCACTGCAGAATGACAGTGCATAGCACCATAAATAAAGAGCTTTTGGCTTTCTCACAGGGATACAGTCCTAAAGCTACAAGAACGTTGAGTGGTGAAGCATCACGTTATATTTGCTCGAAGCACAATACTAAAGTCACATCAGCTAAGAAGGCCTATGGAGCCAAGCTACTGACTACAACAGCAAGCGGCCGCAACGGAACAGTAGTTCCCGTGCGGAACACGGACGGCATCAAGAAAAGAAATAGATGGAACCTTTGCTTACAAATTAAGAATGGGAAATGACTATCCTGCTGCGTTTGTTTTAACTCTAGATTGCCACCAATGCCTACAACAACAGGACATCCTTACGACCCAATACAGTGGGTGAGACAGACTGGGCTAAGTTGTGCAAGCAAAATGACTGTGTCACTGCATCATGTTTTTGCATTTTGCTGCAAAATTCTACCAATGAAATCTGTGCAAGGAATGAAGCTTTAGTTGTAGCCTGATGTAAATACTACTTTTGTAATTCATTATGACAGCGTATTATTACAACTACTGATGAATGTTTGAGCTGGCCAAACACAGTTGTGTACTCATGCTGTTATGTAACACTTAAATGTCGCATTGCAAATGAAAAAGCCAAAACTTGGTGATGTTTTGGACTTACAAAATGGGCTGCTTGCAAGAGCAAGGCCACTCTGACATTTTGAGTAGCATTTCTTGTGACAGACTTTTTACAATTGAAAGCTTCATGTCAATGCTGAAAGTTGCCCATGCAAAGTGACATATTTTTCTGCACTGCTCATAGCACTTGAATCTGCATTTTTGCAGCCTACACGGTCGGCATTACACATCCTAAATCCAAGATTTCATTATTTTTGCAGTAGCAGGCACACCTCAAGAATCGCAAAATGTAGCAACACCTACATGCTAACACAGGTATAATACAACAATACCTCTTGCCTCATCACAGCTTTCCTAACTGTTGGCAAAAAAGATCACTTGCCACAAGAGGGCACAGCCACCACGCTTTCTCTTGGTGCACTCGTGCCACAACGCTCTTGAGACTAGACGGCTTCAAAGAAGAAAGGTCCTGGTGCACAGCCGTAACCACATCACGCACCTTTCACAACATTCAAAGGTTGACCTGGAGCTCGGCCTGCTAGAGACATCATCACCTGTTTGGTGGACATTAAAAATGGCAGGCACATATTTCTGGAGAGTCAAGCGTACTCATGCCTGGCACTTCAGTCTGCTCCTTCAAAGGGTTGCTGGCTCAGGGTCGAGGCAGCGATGGCAGCTGCTGCACCGGCAACAAAGCAGACATGGGGCTGCCAGCAAGAGAAGCGGTGACGCTAGCAGTAGAAGAAACCCAAATCCGGCAAAGATACCCACAACCTGGGAGGAGCAGCAAGAAAATAAATAACTGTGGGGGGTGCAAACATAAGAGTTTTCTCATGACATGCTAGAGTGGCACTACTGTCTATGGGAGCTGCAATGATGGGTAGTACACAAGTTTGTCGTCTTCATTCTTTCGGCTCCACTGGCTCTGTGTGGCCCGGCGCCACTTTGTCTAAGACGAAGTTAAGCAAGTGCTTAGCAGTTTCACTTCACGACCTTAGCACCTTTAATTTGTGCAAGTACAAACACCCCCTGTAAAGTCGTTTGCTCCTCGTGACAAACGTGTTTTGCACATAGGCCGCATTTTGGATTCACAACTACCGAGTGGTAGGGGGCATTGTGCTCGCGAGCGTTGATCACCACCACCATCATCATAGTTAGATCGATAGCACTGGGGGCGACGCCTGGCGGCAGGCCTTGGTGGCAGCACGAGAGAGTTGAACGAGTCTCCTTGACGCGCGGCAGTGGGCGCGAACGGTTGTCTCTCGGGGTTGTCTCGGGGCATGACACCGCGAGCCATCTGCTGAGGGCCCTTGTGGTGAGTCAAGCGTTGGCGCTGCTGCCTTGCGTTTGTTATGCTGTGAGTATTGTGTAATTTTGTGTAATGCTGTTTAGCCTGTTGATCACAATCAATGATATAATATTTCGGCTGACGATATTGTCGTTCTAAATGTAGTTAAATAAACGTGTATTGTTTTGGTTCGTTCCTACCGTGTCGACTGTGTCCGTGTTCCAAGAGCTTGGTGCTCTCTTTTGCACATCGAGATCCCAGAAGTTGCACTGATTTAAATCTGGTCATGAAGTTGAGAGTAATCCATTCTTTTACCCAAAACAAACAAAGCCACAAGTGTGTTTGAAGCCACAAGCACAAAATGAGGCAAATCCACATATTATGGCGAATTCTATTTGTCAAGCGGGAGCAAGTTTTCTTGCTCCACGGCTGAGAATTTGTGTTCCGCGGGTAGATTCGGTGTAACTTCGCATTTTCCACTGGTAAATTCGGAGCAACCTACTCCGCGATGGAATGTTCCCCACGCTCTCTCTTGCAGAGAAGGATTTCGCCAGAACTTCGATAATGCTTTGCCGTCATTTCCAGTACAGTCGGGTAGCTAGGTTGCCTTCAGGGTTTTTCGGTAACCCTTTTCACTTGTCTACAATCCTAAAATTGGTAAAAGGTACCCCTGCTTTCCGCAACTACGTAGTTCAAATGCATGCTTTGCAGTGGCGACACAGTTGCCATTGAAATGTAGAGAGCGGAAAAGAAAATCGTTTCCGGTACCGGTTTAGCGATGTATGCGTAAACAACTTCCGAAGCAACCTCACGCGGGGCATTCAGGTATTGCGCTCACAAATCTGGCTTGGCGCAATCCGAGTGCTCGCTCCAAGATTTCGGCGGCCGCATCGCATCTACCAGTGGAATTCGCCATTACAGTCAACGTACGATTTCCCGGATGCCCAAAATTACGGATATTTCCGATTTCCCGGACAAAAATCCAAATGCCTATAGCTTTCGGCATTAGATTTCCCAGACTTTTTACTGTTAACCGCCAACCCAAAGTCACCACCGACGCTGCCATTCTGCTTGTTTTCATATCTTTGAACCCGCCATACTCGCATCACAGGTATGGCCAGCAGCACCGCCGCCAAGCCGCACCGCGTTGCGACTGCCGTAACCTCGAAACCGCACGTGTCAATCTGTTGCCGATTGTAGCTTAGCGGCTTAGCCAAGCCAAACCTCACTGTATTCATTTTTGTGTTGCTTTGTCAGCTCTGCGGTCGTGTCTGCGGTTGATCGTTTACTGCTGCGTGCTATCTTCAGTGATCACGTTTCCCAAAATTGAACATCGACCGAGTTCCTAGCTGTTTCATGCTGCGCTTTTCGCTGAGCGGATTCGCCGTTTGCAGCGATAACACCGACTGCTCCTTCTTCTTCATCCGCCCCTTCGAAGAGCACAAAGCCCCCTCATAAGCTCATGATAAAGAATAAAGCCGGCATCATTGAACAGGACCAATGCGGTCAGTCGCAGGAAGAGGTGGGGAGCGAGTTCGGAATTTCCAAGCAAACTGTTTCGGACTTCATCACAAAAACAAGGCGAAGATCTTAGAAGTGGCTGCCAAATCACTCGGGGCTGGAAAGAAGAATGCAAGACAGGGTGTTTACCCGAAGCTCGAGGAAGCGCTTGTCGTGTGGCTCAGTGCCATGATCGCTAAAGAAATCCCAGTGTCAGGCGACATCCTGAAGCAGAAGGCGGAGGAGGTTTTCGCGCTTCAGATGAGCATGAAGGACTTTAAGTTCAGCTTTGCAATTTCAAGAGCCACAATGACTTGAAGTTCAAGAAGATGTGTGGGGAAAGCGGCGCCGTCGGCGATTACGTTGTCACAGAATATCGGGATGGAAAGCTGCAGTCCTTGCTTCAGCAGTTTCCACCTACCTAGTGATATTTTCAACTGCAACGAAACCGGATTGTTGTACAAGCTGCTGCTAGAAAAAACACTTGCATTTGCTGGTGACCCCTGCCATGGTGGCTAGCAGAGCAAGGAGCGGCTCACTGTCCTCATTGCCAGGAACATGTCAGACAGCGAGAAGCTTCCGTTACTAGTAATAGGCAAATCGAAGCATCCAAGATGTTTCATGGGGGCAGCGATTCTGCCCGTTCTCTATGAAGCTAACAAGAAGGCGTGGGTAACGCAGCAGTTATTCAAACTGAACATGCGCAAGCTGGACAGAAGGTTCGGGCAGCAAAATCGAAGAGTTCTGCTGTTTGTGGATAAATGCACTATGCATGGCCACATGAAGGACCTGATGGCTATACAGATTGAATTTCTGCCACCGAACACCACAGCAATCCTGCAGCCGATGGACCAAGGCATGATTCGGAACTTGAAGCATCATTACAAATCATGCGAGCTCAGCTGCATGGTGCTCTGCTCTGACAACAAGAAAAGTTACGCTGGTGACCTCAGGTCTGCCATTGGCATGCTAGCAGAATCGTGGAAGGCGGTTAGGCAAGAGACTCTGCAGAACTGTTTTTGCCACGCGGGCTTCACACTCCATGCCGAGATCTCGCCCCAAGTGGACAGCGTGTGTGTGGAACTGCCATCCGCGGATGTTGCCTACGACGATCTGCGTGCTGCCGGCATGTGGATTTCAGCCGTAATAACCTTCGAGGGCTTTGCCGACGCTGACAAAGACCTTGAGCTATTTGCCGACTTGACCGATGACGAAATCATTCGTCAAGTTACAGAAGATTCCGACAACTCTGACACCGAAAACGAAGAGCTTCTACACAGCCAACAAGCTCCGAGTTTATGCGAGCACTGATGACACTGTTATCGGTGTACAGTAGCAACATGACATTAACCGAAATTGAGGCAGACATGATCACCGGCAAGTGGAACGCCATGCAAAAGATAATAGGAGACATTTTTGCACCCAAGTGCTAATCTATGAAGTAGTGCCGGCCATGACGGATTTTTCTTTATATAAACGGCTGTTTTCAGAGCAACCTAAATGATGTATTGGCTGAATTTCAATGGCAATCTTGTACTCCAGCCGTTACCCTCTTCGTCTGTGAAAAATACCTACAAAAAAGGTGCGTTTACATGTGCATTCGTTTTTCCAGACTGCCCAATTTTTCAGATGTTTTCACGGTCCCTTGAGGATTGGGGAAATCGAACATCGACTGTACTTATCATTCCCGTGGCTGCATCAACACAGAGCCAGAGTTCCCTCTAATGAATATTGCAGTGAAATTTATGGATGCCAAGGCTGGCTTGAAAGCCAGGTAAACAACTTTTGCTATGTTGGGCCTAGGCTATCAACTTGATGCAACTGTACGCTAATGGGCTTTCAAGTTTCGGTCAAGAGCAGATTCACTGATGTGACCTAGTGGCCCATAGATGACACCCAACTTACACCCAGAACAGTGCATTGAGCTAACACACAAGAGGGAAGTTTCAGAAGACTTACATTTATTCACAAATCACAGGTCATCCAACATTAATTGAATTGGAGATGCGCGTCTGCACACGTTTCCCTTGCAGTGAGTCAATCAATTTGGCACGCAGTTTGCAAAATATTTCTACTTCAGCATTCTCCTGACAAGGGAAGTTGCGCGCGGCAATGTCCAGCGCCGACACTCTCTAAAAACAACGACTGCTTCTCCACTGCGACTCAGTGTAGCCGGCACATGACGAGAAAGGATTTGATTGATTGATTGATTTGTAGGGTTTAACGTCCCAAAACCACCATACGATTATGAGAGACGCCGTAGTGGAGGGCTCCGGAAATTTTAACCACCTGGGGTTCTTTAACGTGCACCCAAATCTGAGCACACGGGCCTACAACAATGACGAGAAAGGAGGTGGTGGTAGTGGTTAGAAGAGGAAGAAGGCACCTAATTTCTGCAGCCCTGTAGGGAGTATGGTGCAGCGCGTTTTCACGCGGAGAAACGCAGATTGACATTTGAAATAGCCAACCCTCCGCGGCAGCTTTCTTTTTTTTTTTTTTTTGCTCTCTTCACAAGTGGCATTGAAAAGAGAAGGGTCTCTACATGGCAGGGACAGGAAAGGGGTAAGCATGGCACTGGCACACCGCAGATCGTCATTTGAGAGTGAGAGCCAACACTTTGCGACAGCTTTCTTTTTTTTTTTTCCTTCTCTCTTTGCGCGCGGCGTTGAAAGGAGAAGGGTCTCTACGTGGCAGGGACGGAAATGGGAGAAGCGTGGCACAGGCGCATGGCAGATCAGCCTTCTTTGTGCTCAGTGTTGAGGTGTTGGAGGCGCCGCCGCGGGATTGGGCGTGGTGCTGAGAGCATTTTCGGGATTGGGCGTGGTGCTGAGAGCATTTCAATGAGTGCTTGCGCTTTCACCCATTGGAATACACATAGCTTCGACGGGACCACAGCATCAGTTATAATCAACCCTAAGTTCGAATCAAGCGTGTTCGAATTAATGAGATTCGACTGTGATATGTTAAAACACACAAGTGCCTAATCATGTACACTCTTAAAGGCACATTTATCAATTTACTTTGACAGGTCTGGGCAAGATAATGGCTTCACATGATGGGTCCAAGCTGAAAAATTTCCCCTGTGCTCTGTGGAATCTCCCAAGCGGTACGGAAGCTTCTTATACCTTGTCACTATTTCTCGAAAACATTTGCTTACAATTACACTCAAACCCATTTATAACGAACTCGAAAGTGCTGTGATAAATGCTCGTTATATCAGTAGTTCATTGTATATGGACTCGCTCATAAAAACAGCCACATAGTGGCCAAAACGATTTTTTTGTGTGTGTATTTTTTATTAGAAAGTGAGAACGACCCGTCCGCTGACAAGTTAAGCTTTTTCGCATGTTGAATGACACCCGTTTGCAATGAACTCCCGCCGTTCCACTGAATGGTGATCCACTGACTTCGAATCAGTCATCTTTGGCTAGTTGCGTGCAGTATGTCGCTTACTCTAGCTACTCTCGCCGTCGCATGCCAGTTCGCTTGCAGTTCAATGTATGAGCGCGTTTGTGCGTTCGCACATGCTTCACTCGTGCTCGTGCTAGGATGCGGCGGGTAGCCGGTTCGGTTTTTGCGAGCAACGTGCACAAGCGGCCTCGCAGAAGGCGACGGCGGTGAACTTGCGAACGGCACCATGACGTGCTTGTTGGCACGTTCATCGCCACCAGCCACCTCGCTATCGCTTTTTTTTATGCTTATTCGTTAAAGCAACACAAAAGGCAACTATTAAGTCGACATTGATTGTTGAAGTAGCGGTCCACAAATCTCGTATTGTTACTTTTGTGCCTAGGAAGGGCCTATTTTGAAATAAAATCACCTTTTAGTGGTCCGCATCGGGTTGGCGAACTTCAAATTACCCGCCTCAAGAAGCGAACCAACCGAACCGACTCGCGTTACTGTTGCTGTGCACAACGTTGCCCGGCATTACTGTGCTAGTAGCAGCACACCGAAAGCAGCGAGAGCCACAGCAGCAACGGCAATTGATCGATTTGCCCCCATTGGCTTAGAGATTGCAGATTTTTTGTTTCAACTGCGCCCCGCTAGATGGCACCATGTATCCCGCGTAACCACACAAAAATTATTTTTTAACCACTAGCGCCATTCCCCAATAGTAGCGTCCGGCAGTTCATTTTTCCATGAATGCAACAGAAATGAACAAGCAGCATTTTATTGCATCTTTTGATGCACAGAAGGTTTTTTATTTACTGCAGTTATATCAATTACTAGTGATTAATTGTAGGCAGTCCATCTAATGTCATCGGCATAATTTTGAAAATGTCCTACTGCGGCGCTTGTCTTCTTGTGCATTTATTTTAATTTCTCGGTAAGTATGGCACTGTTATTGACAATCTTGTCGTTTTAGATGTCATGCATTGAGCTTGCACTCTGACGTAAATTGTTATTTGACTTTAGTGTCCCTTTAAGGCATCGAGACGACCGCGGGGAAGTTGTTATCACTAATAGACCGGTCCTTGCCGTTACCGAGAGGTGGAAAAAATTTTTAAGGGGGGACGCAGGCCTTAGAATGGTGAAAAGTGACCAAAAAGTCAATTTTTCGAATTTTTATTCCTATACACGCGTGTTCTGAAATTGTGAATGCTAAATTTGATCAATAATGGGTTAAAATTTGTTATCAAGTCGCTATGGGAGTTGCGAAACGCCCCGCGAAAAGTAAAATTTGTTCGAACTTAGCGCGCGCGCCGCTGGCGAAGCAGTTGGCCGATCGCCACCACGTTGAGCTTGTTTTGAAGGTGATTTCTTTGTGCGCATTTTGCCACCCTTCAAAATGGTGTCACATGAAAGGAACGGCTGCCCTCGCCGCTTTTCTGAAGCCCCCTTCCTGAACACTCATTGGCCGGAGCACGTGCGCGCCAGGCAAGCCCCCCAGTCTCTCGCTTCCAAGATGGCTGGTGCGACCAATGAGGCTGCGATTTTTTTTTTTTTTTCCAGGTAGTTGTTTATCGGCCGCTGGCTCGCGTCTCGCGCGTGTGTTCGCCTGCTTCCCGCTCATGCTCACGATCGAGGCAACGACTTTCCATCTTTTTGCCAGCATGACTGGTGATGCTCGTCTAAAGAAGAAGACGCGCCAAGCGCACGGCAAGAAATGAAAGCGTCCGTGTCCATGGAACGTGCCATAGAAGAAAGCCGACAACGTGGTGGTGTCAAAGAGTTGAGCCTCGCAGGAAACTGTCATGCAAAAAAAGTTATCGCTTCTCCCGATTATGGCTTCTTGCGTTTGAAGGAATTGTTGGTTTATCGGCGGCGGTCGTAGATGCTGAGAACAGCGTCAGAAATGTTCGCCCTGCGAAAGCTGACCGCAATTTTCTATGCTGCCTCCTATTTTTTCTTTTCGTTTTTGTCCCCATTTCCTTCTGTCTGCCTGTGAAGAAACGTCTTAAAAGTGAACCACCTCACTCACAATGTCCGTAATCTGCGTGTGGTGCTCGCCACGTTCTGCGATATCTTCCGCCCCAAGCAAACTGCAGCAATGCACACAAGAGCACGCCTATCACATGCTTCAGAATGCCTGGTTTACTTTTTTTTCCGCTTCGTATGCGCTTCGTATATTTTTACCGCGACAGTGTCGGAAATGTTCGTTGTATAAGTAGGAAGCGCGGAAAAATGTTCGCTGCATCTGGACTCAGTTTCAAAGGGTAGCATAAAAAATCATAAGTGCACCAAAATATGGTCGTTATAACCGATATATCGTTATATCTGAGATCATTATTGGGTTGCACTGTAGCTAACAAGCTCTCAATGCAGATATCAGATGCAGGGTGTTTCAGCTTACCTGCACCTAGTATCACGTGAACAAACACATGTGCTAAGCATCTTGAACTAATCGAGTAATGATCTCAGCTGTACATTTCATGTCAGTATGTATATTAATGTCCCCCAAAGCCGAGTGATTAACAAGAAACAATAAACTTTTTAGCTAATAAACATTCAGTACAAAAGGTGTAACATTTTTATTGAGTAGCTTAGCATTATTTGATCTATGCGAAGATAACTGCCCTGCTTAATAGTTTTCCATTTTTTCTTAATTAAAAGTGCACGTAATTAAGGAGTACACTTGGCATAGGTTAGCTTAAATGCCCTGAGCATATAGTATATGTAAACAGCATGGAAATGAGAAACAAATGAGCCAAGTAGCAGAGAGAATGGACCGCATGCAATATACTACTATGTTAACGCAATGCAAGTGGGCATGGAAGCCATCACACATGCTGGGGTGGCCACATATCACAGCAAAATAGCTTTCAAGGCACAATGCTTTCGCATTCGTATATTGGATTACAGAATGCCTGTCAAAGAGCTGGCAAGCTTTTTTTCCACCCACTGCTTTCGGCTGTTTGCAACTTATTGAGATGTAGACTTCGGAAAGGTGCCTTTTAAAAGGATTACGAAAGTGGCCATCGAGTTACTTGTCCACTTTGGCACACATGCCATAGTTCTTTATTCATTATACTACAGCAAATTCTTCTTTAGAAATAGTAATACGCATTCACATGATGACACACCTGAGTCCTGTGCCAAACGACAGATGCCCGTGAGTGGCCCAACTTGTTCTTGCAAGGCCCTTTGTCGTAATGTCGCAACAGGAAATCATCCTGGAAAGGGAGAGAGCAAAAGATAAGAGTACAAGTATTTAGCTCGCACCTTTATCAGATGCAGCAATGTAAGTCAGACGATGCAAAACTCGGACAACACAGAAGGATGATGGCTTCACAGGGCACACAAAATTTACGGCAATGCATCCCTACTCACGTCAAGGGAGGCCAGGCAGTACCAGCAGAACACGTGTCGACAGCGTTTGCACATCATCTGGGCACAGCCTTCGTCCCGCTCAATGGGAATGTGACACCGTGGACAGCGCTTTATCAGGCCACACTCCTCGCCTGGCAGGTTAGCCCTGGGTCACACGAGGAACAGCGTGTAAGAGCTAATTTCGCAGAAATTCCAGCATCACCGGTTGTGAGCGAAAAATCATCATCTTTGCGTGACCGAAAAATCGAGAAATATGCAAATAAAATATTTAATAACTATTTCTGGGCCTGAGTGGGAATCGAGCCCGGGTCGTTTGCGTGGCAAGCGGGTGTTCTACCACACGCCTCTGCATGTGAATGCAGGGAAAACCCTGTGCTTGGCGATGCAGTGAAAGCAACTTTCATGCTTTACACGCATCCTGTATACATGCTCCACAATACAACACGAAATATTGCCATAATAATGCATTGCAGAAGCGTACATTGCCATTGGGCGTCAGAAGATGGGATTATCGTGATGACTACATGGCTTAAAGCCAGTCACCCACTACAAAAACCACGTAGTGGGTGCTTGACAAGTTTGAAAAGATTTCATGCACCAAGTGACACACTAGGAACAGAATATTGAGTTCAACTCATACCCCAACTTTCTAGCAAACAAGCCCATTTCCTTTTCTTGTCTGAAGGATAAAGAGAACTGCGATTACCACACAGTGTAAGAAGTCTGTCCCTCGCTTGCAGTGAAGCACCAGCCAACGATGCAAACTTTTATAGTATGTTACAAAAATTATGTTCAACATTTCATCAAGGTCATCTGTATCACTTTGCTCGTAATTGACTGCTCACAGTACAATAAATGTGGAAAACAACCTCAATGCAGCTGAGTGGGCTACATTACTGAATTCTCCAAAACATACACATGGCAGAGTGTTACATGTACCAAGTGGTTGCCAAGTCTCTCGAATTGTACCAGTAAGTTTCTTCCTGCACAATTGCTTGCTTCATTTACAATAACAGCACATGATAAAAAATACTACAATAAAGCTGCATGTATTTGGGTTAACCAATTTTTAATCACAATGCACCAGAAGGCTTTAAAAGGTGTCTACAATTTCAACTTCTTGCCCGAGTGTATAGTGCGACACGACAAAAATGTGTTAGTATCTCGTATGCACCATGCTGGGCATAGGCAACCAAGAATGCTTGCATTATTGACATGAACACAATCACATTTCCATTGAAGCCCAACTCATACTGGTAACTTTATGCCAATTTCACGGCTAGTAGAGTTCTCCAGTGGTACCACCAGTTTGTGGCAGCCTTCGGAGGAACTGAGTGATAGAAATTGCTGAGTGCCCCCTCATTCGCCACATGTGCTCACAACATCTGGCCTAGCCTCGTAGTAAAGTGTATACTTTCTACCTTTTTGATCTATTTCAGTGCTGCTTAAGCACTTTAGAATGAACACGAATCATGAGAACGAATCAGCAACACTGTGTTGTCTAGCTTTAGCAGCTCTTCATCTTATATAGCTACTAGCACTACTCCTTCCTTGAACTGCAACAAAGATAACAATGAAAGGCAAAGAAGACAACCACCATTTGTAGCATGAAGCCACAAGAAAATCCGTACAGATTTCTCGGAAAGAAAAGCTTCTTCGTTGCTGAAAAATTCGTCCTGGTCCGGGGTTCGAAACCGAGACCAACACTTTTCTGAAGTGGTTTCTCTAGCAGTTGAGCAATTGGCAGCGCGCAGGTAAATTCGTCCACAACACGAAGCACACAAACACAAGTAATGCTAATGAGTACTGCATATAACCGTAAGTTGGCAGAATGTTTTTTTTTCTCAAACTTTCTGCCACCTTGCGGGTTTCCACAGAAATCATTTGCATTACAGATAACAATGTAACTAGATAGTATAGCCAAGTTGATTGCAAGATAACTAAACAAAAGCCATGTGCTATTTACTACTATAAAAATTTGTATTTAATTGCTGGAAAGGAAGATGGAGGACGCTTGAGCTTTGCTTTCTTACCAATAACGTAAGAAGGCTGAGAGTGTGCAATGTCAGAAGTGAAGAACAGCGGTGGGCCCTGATAGAAGCTAGACAAGAAATTGTCGTGCTGGAACAATACAGCCCAAATACGAATGTCAAAATCTCTCAAATGGAAAAAAAAACCTGGAGCAAACTGTCACGAACATTGCTAAGTGCTTACTGTAATTGATAACGACTTTTATGTTCCACACCGTGTACTGTCAAAAGATAGAAAAAAATAAATAAAATGTGACCGTCAGATTCCTCTCTAGAACAGCGCGAGACAGGCCACGGCTAAAAAGACTATAAACTGAATAGTGCTTGTCTTTGCTTTGAAAACAGCAACTCTGTGTATGGAAATGAAGGTTCTCCTTTGTAAGGTGCGGCTAGCAAGGCGTGACAAGGAATGTAAATATGTGTGGGTATCACAGGGCAGAATCTTCAAGTGAAAGGCAGGCAGGACATTTGTTTTACGCTAAACCGTATTTACTTGCAAATCCTCGCACTTTTTTTTGGCGGAAAACCGATGCAAAGTTGGAAGGTGCGAGAATTACGCGAGGAAAACTTTCCACGAAAACGTACAGAGCGAAAAAAGAAAACGAAGTGGCCGCAAGTCGGGATTCTCACGCCAGCAACTAGCAGCAAGCTTTGAGAAGTACTAATTAAGACTAACCTCAACAATAAAAGCACAGGTTCAACACAAGGCAAGATTTATTTGAGACACAAAAGGCGCAAGCAAATAGTAGAGAATTAGAATACTGTATGCAAAGCTTGTGGGCGTTGCGGGCGTAGCGGTAGCGTTCCATCGCTCAACAGGAGTCCGCAAAAGGTAAGCGAAGAACAAGGATCCCCCCCCCCCCCCCTCCTTATGTAATGCCCCTCCTAGACAGGGGGGCCTTTAAGGTAATAAACTGAACTAAACTGATTGCCACTTAACAGAATCGACCGCAGTTGCCTTGTGAAGAAACAGTTTTTCATCAATCTCAGTCATGGGCACAAGGAAAGCCCAACAAGTCTTGGTGGCTGTCAGCTGCCGTCATCAGTAGAGAACACAAAACTCGTCTACTCCGAAGGACCTACCGGCAGCCCTATTGCCGTTGCTTAGTGCATGATCAATCACTTTCAACTTAAAAGCAGCTGTGTAGCTTCTGTATCACCCCTTAATGTAACAAGATTACAGACACAACATACAAATCACGCCGCAACGCACACTTGCCACTTTGGCTTGGATTTGATTGGATTGAATTTCGGTGCAATAATAGTACACTCTACGCTTAGGAGATGGTGCACGTTATCATCATCAGTGGCTGGAACGAACAGACGACATTATTGAGGCAATTTTCGGGGGTGCGATAATCACTCAAGGAAAAAAAGAAATCGTATTTTTGTCGGGTGATTTGGGGGGTGCGAGAATTATGCGAGTGCGAGGATTAGGCAAGTAAATACGGTAAATTTATTTATTTATTTGGTCTTTTTTCACAAAAACTTCTGAAGCAGATCTGGCTGAAGTGGTCTAGCTTAACAATAGATCTATGTTTCTGCTGTGAGATATGGCAACATATGTATTCCAGTGTATCTGAATTGAACTCGTATGTAAGCGGCCATCATAGGCAGCCCCTGACATTTCTTCATATTGCCACGTTCCATTTCTCAAGTTTTGTTATCGTCCCAAAACACTACACAATTCTCAGCGCAAAACGCGCGTGCAGTTTTCGAGAAGCTTCTGGACTTTAGTAGATCATTTCGATCAGATCACGCCCACTCTGTGAACTGTACAGATTATTCTATAACCTGCGCCACCGCCAGCGATAACGCTAGAACATTCGATGGCGAGAGTATAAATGCCGACGCACTTCGCCGCTTGTCAGTAGTTGATCGACGGCCGACGCTCCATTCACTGCTATCTGTGCAAGACTGCTACTGTAATCGAACTTTCCGTTTACCGGGCACAGGTTCGCCCAAACAAACAGCAACATAAAGTCTCCTGTCTTCGGCCACGTCACGACCCCGTGACAATATTAACACGCAATCAGCTTGTCCCAAAGAAGAAAACTTTCTCGTATTTCTTGATGAATCAATTTCTTTATCTTCGTAATAATGATCACATAAACTTGGTACCGTAGTGAAACAGAAAATCGAAAACTGGTGGTGGTGTATGCTTACATGTCAAGGCTGAAATAACATATGAGTATCATGAATATCTGTCTCTGTGCACCAATGACCGTGAGGCGTTAACCTTGCAATATCAATGCTATATTGTTGTAATGTACAGGCCGCCAAGTTGCAATATTGATTCAATTATCCAATATTTAGAAAACATATTTACCATGGTAAACCATTTTAATTACACATTAGTGCTGGGGAGTGATCTTGACATAAATATGTGTAGCAATACACATGAACAGACCTGCTTGCTTTCTTTTCATTTAAAAATGTAATTATCATTCCAACACATATAACTGATACTACTTCTACTCCACTAGGCTTGTTTATCACGAATAGTACAAGTCACACGATACAAACAGGCGTCCTGCGGACTCCAATAAGTGATCAATAACCCATACATCTAATTCTAGAAAATACATTAAGTGTAAGGAGTCAAATCCTTCCTGCCATTCACTTTAAACAAATCCACAAATGCTATCTTTAAGAGATGAAATCAGTCCTATGTAGTTCTTCCAGTGTAGTCCTGTTTAGTCTTGCTTTTTAATCTTTTTATTGATACTCTGTGTTCGGTGTATAAAAAACATTTTACTTATAAGGCCTTAAAAGAGACCAAAATGATTACTTCCGCCATGCTCAATATGATAAAAGAGAAAAATAGGTTATATCAAGAGTTTCTGATAAAGCGAGACCCGGATAAATTCAAAGCACTTAAGGTATGCAGAAATAAGCTGACAAAACTACAAAAACAAGCTAAACGCGATTACCACTTCAAGATGTTCATCGGCGTCACTGATTCCAAGCAAATAAGGAACAAAATAAATGCTATTATATCTACCAAACTAGTGACTAATGATATTAGTGAGCTGGTGATTAATAATGAAGTATGCAGAGGTGCAGTACTGGCAAACAAATTTAATGAGTAGTTTATCTCACTGGTTGACAGTAGTCATCATTGTGATTAATTAGGTTATTTGCTTCCTGCTTTAGATGATTCACTGTTTTTAATCTTACAGATGCGCAAGAGGTCATCAGCGATTTTCAGCATTTCTAGAAAAGTAAAAGCAAGGACGTAGACGACTTAAAATTAGAACCGATAATACATATTTTAGATCTTATATGCACATGGTTAATTCATATTTACAATCTCGTGTTCACCACTAGGTTGTTTTCTCAGGATGAAAAATGCTAAGGTGACAGTTGCATATAAGGGTGGGGACAAAAACAATTTAGGAAACTATTGACCAATCTTAATTCTGCAGATTTTTTTCCAAGGGATGTGAAAAACATATTTTCGCTCAGCTGTCTAACTTATTTAAAAAACACAACATTATTACGTCATCACAGTTCAGTTTTCAGCCCGGCCTCTCAACCGAAAGTGCCTTACTATACCAAAAGAAATTGATTCTAAAAAACATAGAAGCAAAAAGAACTTACGCTAGGAATATTCCTAGATTTCTCCAAAGCATTCCACAGGATAAACTATGATATTATGCTGAAAAAACTTCACTGTTACAGCGTTTGTGGTACAGTTTTGGCTTTGTTAAGAAGCTACTTATCAAATAAAACACAATGTGTATCAATAAACGAAGAGCTATTATCAGCCGTAAAGGTTACGAATGGTGTCCCTCAAGGTAGCATTTTGGGGCCTCTATTATTTAATATTTTTATCAACGATATTGTACGCATTTACAGCTCTGTAGAATATGTAATCTATGCGGACGATAAAAGTATATTTTTTCCAGAGAAACTGCTGATGACCTCATTGTTTCTGCAAATAAAATACTAAATGAAGTATATGCCTGGACTGTGGAAACCTTTCTACATATTGATTGCTCTAAATGTAAGGCTGTACTGTTCCATGCAAAATCAAAACCATTTGAACTTCTCATAAACTAATACTTAATAGACTCGAAATTATTCTTTCCCAAACAGTTAAAACTCTCACGCATCCATTTTTACAAACTCATGGCATGGTAGTCACACACATTGTAAAATTTTAGGTGTGATGCGTCAATGCCAGAATATACTACCTGTGAAGCAAAAAAATGTTCGTATACAATGCTCTTTTTTTCATCCCATATGCATTATTGTCATCTTATTTGGTCATCATTAAATGACTTGGTCATATTACAAAAAAATGCTTTGTAATGTATTGAAGGTGTATTCTATAACGCACACACTGCTCCAATATTTGCAAAGTACAGAATATTAAGAACTGATAATTGCTACGAATACCATCTTTTGTCAACTTTTACATCAGAAATACGCCAAGGAAGTACCCTTTTACGTACATTGGCCGCCTTGGAGCCTAATCCTGCCATTCGAGTCACTCGGTAAACGGAAACTTGGAATGTACCACGTCCTTGCACTAATTATGGATTGGAAACGCTACATTACTGTTTTTCAAGTGTGATGAACAAATGGAAATTGACTATTGGTAACCTGTGTATATTGTCTGAAACTGATATGTTAAACAGGACTTGCTGATTTTGTTTTCTATGAATGCTGGGGGATTTCTGCTATGGCTACTTTGTTTAATTCGTTGCTTTGTTATGAATAGTCTTGTATGTATTTCAGAGTTGCTACTTTATTATTTGCTGTCATGAGCCACATGCGCGTTCTTTTTGTATTGTCCCTTTTGGCTGCCTGTAATACCTTGTAGTTTTGTAACTTGGATTTTTCTTTTTCACGGGATGAAGGGGCCAGTCTAGCTGTGACATGCAGCTTTTTCCCCTTCGCACCAAACCACGTATACAATGTGTTTTTCGTGTATTTGTCACGTGGTTAAATAAAGTCAAACAGCCAACAACAATGACAATGATGCCAGCACCAACGCTAGCGAAATGAGCTCTCAGGCAATGTTTTGTTAATGTAATGCAAACATGTTCTGAGTGAAGCATCTCACTGCTTCATTTGCACATTCCTAGTAGAGACAGCGCTAACGGAATGTTTACAAATGCAGGTGCACTCACAGTTCATCTTCAGAAAAGTGCCTCCGAAACTCGTCGCAGGACTGGTATGCATGCCAGCGTTCCTTGCATGAGGAGCAGAAGGTGAGCTTGCACTGCAAAGTGGGAAGGTCATCACTACAAGAGCTGCAGTGAGCTACACAATAAGTACTTCCATCCATGCTGAGATCTCAAGCTAGAATAGCAATGTAAACGCGTGCACAAGACCTCAAGTAAGCATACACAAGTTAAACACTCCCAAACAGGCAGCAGCACATCAAGCCTTAGCTGTACAGGTCCCTCCAATTTCTTATCCCCAACTGCCAGAGGTACTCCTAATGAGCCAATGCTGAAAGCAGTATCTTGGGCAGATACAAAGAGTGCAGAAAGAAAAACTGATTCGGAACTGAATAAATGTCGCCATTAACAGAAATACAGGGATCCTATTTCAGTGCCTAACGAGATTTGCTACGCCAACCTGATAAAACCGACGTAAATTGCGCCAACCTGCGCCAGACTGTCCATTTCAGATGTCCGCAGCCTGTGGACCGCGGGCCGCAAATGGCTCGCTGGGCAGTTTTATGTGGCTCTTGGCACGACGTCAGAAATCTTAAAATCGCTAGACACTGTAATTGTGGCAGTATTTAAATAACTGTAATTAATGTTTTATTTACCGAAGACAGCGGTCGAGTCTAATGAGAGAATTCTTTACCTTCCTGTGAACCAGCCTACTAGATGTTAAGATGACGACAACGACTGCACCTCCGCTGCTACCCCCTGCGCCGCAGCCGCAGCGCGGCCAGCACGTGACGAGAAAGGAGGAGCGTTTCCACGCGGAGAGAAGCAGATCGGTGTTTGAGAGATCACCAGCAATCCACAGCAGCTCTTTTTTTTTTGCTCTCTTTGTGCGTGGCGTTGAAAAGAGAAGGGTCTCTACATGTCAGACGGAGGCGTGGGGGGGGAGGGGGAGAGAGTGACTCGTAAATGAGAGAAAAGAAGATAAATATGCACCTTGTAACTGTCTGCATCATAGTACGACACCTCAACAGTGGCTCACGAGGGATGGAGGTAAGGAGGGATTTAAAGGGATAGAGATAGAGATGAGGACACCCACTTACAGAAGTAAAGGTAAGATAGAGAAAGATGGGGACACGGTCGAAGGAGTCCGAGGACGGGCTACCAATCAGCGAAAGGTTCACAGTGTCGGGAGATGGCGGGGGAGCAAGCCGGTCGGCCAGAGCTGCGCTGTCGTTGGAGATCGTGGGGGCACAACCGTTGGGCACGGAATCCAGTGAACGAGTCCCAAGATAGGCATGGCACCGGTGCGTCGCAGACTGGCATTTGCATACCTGCCAACTCTTCCGATTTTCCCGTAAGATGTACGGTTTTACGAATCTTGCCTGATATTTACGAAAAGTATTTCATTAGTAAAATAGCGTGGCCTCTACGATTGGCTACAGCGCATTGCCGTAGCTGGTGGCGGAGGCCACAAAAACGGCCTATATGTATTGGTGTTATCATCACCACATACTTTCGAAGTCTCCCGCATTGTCCGGGAGACTACCGGTACAATTCTAGTTGCTGCACTACTGGAAGCGTGATGGTTTGGGCTAGTTGTATGACACGACGGTAGATATAGCACAAGAACAGAACGTCCTTTTGTCGTCGTTCTGTTCTCACGCTATGTCTACTGTGAAGTACTATTGGATTGCAGCTGTTTCTTCCGTGTGTAGGGTTGCCATGAAAATCTCCCGAAAATAGAAATGTTTGTGCGAGATCTGGCCACATTGACAAAAATGCAGACCAGTCCGTTTCAGGCTTTTTGCGAGCCCACCGTATTATAAATGAATTTGAGAGGCGTTCATCTAAACTTACAGTAGAATCTCACCCCCGTATTCTAGAACCTCCCTTCACTCAATGCTTCGCCTTCACTTGAGAAAGCCGATGGGAGCGCCATCTCTAGGCACGACAAGTCACTGTATATCAGCGATAGTCTGCTGCGACTCTCGAGTGGCGCAGTGCTCAACTCTGTCAAGTGAAGGGTGAAAGTAGAGTCGAGGAGCATTAGTGAATATGGGGGTTAGTGATGCAAAACTGCGACAGATACGAATCCGCAAAATTCCACAGCCAAATTCATTTGTCCATTGGGCCAAAATTCGAATGTTCGGAACACTTTTCCTAATCGCAGCGTGCGGTATGAACTTTAGTACCGAAACCGTTGAACAAAGGCCTATCCAGTGCAGTGTGCTCGAAGCTTCAAAAGTACGCGTGCGACCAGCACATGCACTGTCTTCTACAGTGCGTGTGATTGTCTTTGCCACAAAAACGCTGTGAATAAAACTGCGGTCGTTCGACACGATCATGTATGGCGACGACATTACTGACAGAACTCCGAAAGTGTGCGCGCGGCCACCGTTCGGCCAGTCAAAGCAGCGCTGCTTTCCGCAAACTCTTCGGAGAAAACAGCGGCAGTTGCGACCATAGATATTATAAAACGACTTGGTTTTGAAGGCACGTGGCTTGAAAACAAAACTATCGTATCTGCCGCAAACCGCCACGCACAAAACCGCGGTCGTAGCGATGTGGTAGCGATCTGCGAGCTCCGAGGGCACATGGCTGACGCAGCGGTAGGATGAAAAATGGTAAAGACGTAAAAAAGGTTAGAACCGTTTTGCCGTTCCTGTCCAAAGAATCTAGTAGCTAGCAAAGCCAAAGCTAGCTTTGACCCGCCCTTTTGCGGCAGCCAGCTGCACCGTCCCGTCCGTTGACGTGTGTCCTAGGAAGTCATACGAGAGTTGTTTTAACGGAAATATATTTTGCTGGTTGTTTTGATGACGCAAAATTTCGTCTGGGAGCATTTGGCTTCCCCTTTCAGACTCTCACCTTAGTGAGAAACCATACTCTCGTGTGTTCGGCCACTCCAAGCCATTATGAGACTGCAGCGCAAATGCTTGCGTTGCCCCCATTTGTTTTTTGCAATGTTTTCTTCTAGTTTTTTTTTGGTGCGAAAAATAGAGAAAAAGAACTGATGGTAATGATGATGACGTTAACAATAAGTAACTAATGATGGCAAAATGTGATTATGCTTGTCGCTAAAGGCGAATCCATCACAGCTACAAGTTTAAAGAAAAAAAAAAACGCAGATGATGAAAAGAACGACACGAAAGTTCTCGAAGCCTTTTCAATCTAAAAAGATCCTCTGTTCTAGGTCAGCGTCCATTGAATATCAAAGTGTTTGAGGTACTTCTTCTCTGAAGTGCTCCATTATGAATATATAGCTATGCCTAAGTGCTCCTAATAGTAAGATTATTTGCTCCAAAACTAACATTTTACTGCTGTAAAATGCTTTTAATAGCAAGACTACCTGCTCCAAAATGCTCCCAAACTAAAATTTTACTGCTCCAAAGTGCTCCAAGACTAATATTTCACTGCTCCAAAACTAAAATTTCACTGCTCTGAAAATTGCTCCAAATCGGCAGCTCCCAGTGGGATCAGTGGAAATACAAAATACTAGTTGATGAGAAAAGAGTTGTAGGCTAGAGCTGTCCCAAGCAATGTGCCCTATCTACAAGATTTAAGATTGTAAACAAGTAGGCGAGTGTCACCTGACACACCCTGGTGTCATGATATTTCATTTTGTGCATTTAGCAGGAACGCTTTCTATTCATACTCAGTATTAGTGTGTCGTCTGTTGCTGTGACACCACATAGTGACAGCAGGCGACATGCCACAGGGGTCTGCTGGGCATACAATGTAACACCCACTCACTAGGGCTTGCACCAGAAGTCGCCCTCTCTCGCATCCTCTGTCGTGCATACCCCCAAGCCAAGGTGTGCAGCCATACCTTGGAACAGTGGACGGGCGATGCCTCGCAGTCACGTAGTGGTGGGAAGACACGGCAGATGCTCTCGCATCCAGGGCCAGGGCACCAAGTTTGGTTGGGGTCCATCTCCACATCTGCGCACACAGATTGCTGCGTTTGAAAAGCCACTGGCAGCATTGCACGAGGCTTTTTCAAAATATTTTTTTACACTCATACCCACAGTGCCATTCAGGTATTACAATGCAAGGGTTACACAGAGAATTTGTACATCATACATTTCAAGAGCACAGTTGTCAATACAATGTTGTCAACGCACATGAATGACATGAAGACCATCTAACCTAGACAAAGAGGGAGAATACAAACATGCAATTATTCTGTACAGACATAAAGTACAAAAACTAGGTGATAAAAACTAAACATTGCATAAAAATCGACTGCAGCGGGAAAAGAGTGCTTTTAAAAAGATTAGTCCTGCAGCTATATTCTCTAACCATGATTTGTTCGTCTTGCTATATAATGAGGCTGTACTGATCGCGGTCTACTCCAATGTGGCCATGATATATATTATGAAAAGGCTTCAAGTGCAAAATATGCCTTCTTTTTTCTAGAAGCTCCTATTTGAATGCTTTCTTTTCAGCAGTAACACTAAGGTTTTTTTTATAGCTACCGATAACGTACCTTGCACCCATGTTCTGAACTCGCTCAAGCTTGTCGGCATTTGTGGGAGGGTCACACAGAGTGCAACCATACTCTAAAATTGGTCTGATGTAGTTTTTGTAAAGAAGATTGCGGGCCTCCTGAGGAAACAGCTTTGTGCTACGCCGCAGAAAATCCAATACCTTACATGCCTTTGCTGTAACGAAATCAACATGCCTGTGCCAACACATGGATAATGCAAGGAATATGCCCAGCTGAGAATCAGTTTGTAACGAAGAACAAGACAGAGTATAAAGTGTCGGTGCCATACGTTTTTTGTGAAATGCGTGTGAATAGTTTTCTGCACATTTATTTGCATATGTGATTCACGACAACAGTTTTCTATTTTCGCTAAATCATTTTGTAAAATAATGGTATCATTGATGCTGGTAACTTCCAGATATATTATTAGATCATAAGAAAACAATCTGATGGAAGAAGCAATGGTGTCAGGAAGATAATTTATGAATAAAAAAAAGAGCAAAGGGCCCAACCAACACTGAGCGCTGAGGGACACCAGATGTTACTTACACTAGCCATACCTGATTCTGCGCCATTTACCACCACGTACTGAGAACGCAGGGACAAGTATTCCCAAATCCACGTTATCACCTGTTCATTGATATTAAACCAACGTAGCTTACCTACGAGCAGCCCATGATCTACGAGGTTGAATGCTTTCCTGAGGTCTACAAATATCGAATCAACCCAGGAGCATTCATCCGGTACACTACAAATTTCGTGAACAAATTCGGTTAACTGAGTTATGTAGGAAAGTTCTCGTCTAAAACCATGCTGTCTTGGATTAAGAAGATCGTGATTGGTCATATGTGTCATTACATTGCTGCACAAGACGTCCTCTAATATTTTGCAGGCTATACTTGTCAGGGATATCAGTCTGTAGTTGTTGACCAGTTCATGAGGACCTGATTCATACACAGGCACGCCACCTTCCTGTCGTGTGGCAGGCTTCCCGTTCTCAATCATTTAGAGTATGGAACCTTAAGGAAGAATGCGATGTTTGGTGCACACATTTTGAGGAAACTGCCTCTCAATCTATCCGATCTTCCTGCTTTGCTAGGATCTAAGTGTTCGAGAAGACACTGAATGGCATTTTCATCAACAGCTACATCATCCATATGTGCCATACATCTGTTAGTTGGCAAAAACAAAACGCTGTTTGACTAACAGGATGAAAATACGGAAGAAAAAATGTATTAGAACAGCTGGCCTTATCTGAGCTATTTTCTATTTCTTCACCATCATGATGAAGTGAGGGAATACACACTCCATCTTTTTTATAACGTTTGACAAGATTCCAGAACAACTTTGTTATTATGAATCGAGAAGGCAGAGCATTAAAAAATTATTTTCTGGCATAATGCATTTTCGTTTTTAGAAGTTTTGTGATGGTTTCAAGTTGCTGGCAAGTCTCAGAGGTGGGTTTTTTTTTTATATTTAGTATACACCCTGTTCCGTTTACCGATAAGGCGCCGCAGCTCACCATTAAACCATGGCTTCGATTTAGCACGACATGAAGTCTGCACCCACAAAGGCACATATTTTTCTTGTAGGTTAAGCATTTTTCTTTCAAAAAGGAGCAAGCACCGGAAAAGTGTTGGAATTCTGGAAGGGAAGCTTCCAATGCAAGGCCTATCTGGTTTACATTTCCTTTGCTGTAATTTGTGGGAACCGGATTGGCCCGCCGTTTTTGCGTGGACTTTGCCGCCTCTTTCTGCGTTCTCATGTCCCGACATGACTCCCCTTCTCTGCAGTCTGCCCCGCTGGGGGAGCGGGTAGTGACGTTTAACCCTTCTCACCCAATAGTGGATGTCGACTGTGGCGCTGTGCGCAAAGTCTCTCGGGATGTTTCGCGCGCACGCATAGAGAGTGAAAGAGTACCTCTCCGGGACAACATCGAGTAAGCACGCATTTCTTTTTCATTCGTCGGCTCTTTTTGTTTGAGGCTCGTTCGCTTACCTTTTGTCTCCCCCCCCCCCCCCTCGAACACTAAGACGAAGAGCGGTGCGGTGTCCTAGTGCGTGGTCATACTACGCCAACCCGTACCTCTTGAAACCCAACGCGAGCACAGTTTTCGCCCTAGCTCGATTGACCGGGCCCTTTTGTCCCGGTGTCCCCATGAATCACTTTTGCCCACGAAAACCTGCTCGCGGCACCCTGTGTTGTACTTCTTGCCTGGGGCATGGATAAGCCCATTTGCTTTCCCACCACCCCTGTTGCAACGGGCTGTCTACGTACTGCGTTTTTGGTGTTGCCACAGGCAATAAAGTGTTGCGACCTTGAGCAGTACCGTGATCTCGCCACGGCGACGGTTAACACATCCTGCGACTCGCTAAGACCGGACCCACGCTAGTGGCCGTACTCCAGAGGTGATACATGTACAATACAAATTATACATCTTTCTTGATGCCGCTGTTTGAGTCTTTTCATATGTTAGCTTCATTTCACACAAAACAGTTTTATGGTCGCTAATGTCGAATACCACCAAAACCATTTTTACCCAGTTTGGCTGATTAGTTAAAAGCAAGTCAGATATTATTTTGTCTCATGCGTTGTTTTACCATCCGATTTAAGGAAAAGCTGTTAAGTATGTTGAATTTTTCCTTTGCTGCTGCAGATGTAGCCCCTGCACTGGAAGACTGATCATTCCACAAAAGCTCTCGAATATTAAAGTCCCCACTTTATGACAAGATAATCAGTATGGACAGTTTCTAGTGTCTTTGAAAAATCGGTCATGGCAGTTTAAGAACTTGCAGGAGGAAATGAGTACACCGATGATGTTTTTCCATTTGGCAATCTGATCTTGCAGCACACATCCTTGCAAGTGCCGCCATTGAGAAAGCCAACTATCCACAAGACCCACCGCCATGACGACGTCCCTAAAGCTTGAAAAAACCTCAGTGTCGTCAGCATCTAGCCATATTCGGTTTCAAGCACAATGCCTGGTTTTACCATCCATAACAGGTTATGGAAATCTTTCACTTTGTTTTTGATGCTACGACAATTGACTACCAGAAGAGCTACGTCTGCTACAGAGCTACGCGTACGTCGTATAGTTTGCACAACCTGGCCACGACTTTAATTGTACACATTTGTCTATATAAAAACAGTTTATCATATTTCAGATTTACGTGAGCACCATCAGAAGCATTCTTTCTGCAGAATTCCCAGAGAAACTTTCTTTTCCTGCGCACTGCTTCCGAGAAATCTTCTGATGTAGTAATACTGGAGCCTTTTAGCTTCTTAAGCATTGGCTAAGATCGTCTGTATATCACTGTACGTTGAAAACATTGCAATAAGTGGTCGAGGTTTGTCATTCTGCAATCATCCAAGCCTGTGTGCCTGCTCAATATTCACCGACCGTATACACATTGACAGTTGTGAAAAAAATCAAATATTAAGATACGTCCTGATGTGCTACACGACAAATTATGGGCACACAAGATATGCCAGAAACCCACATCACTGGATCGGGGTTCGCCCCACAGTGAGTGCTAATGGAAATGCCACCCACCACTTTCTGTAGACGCTTCAATGGACTACTTTGAATACCTGACGCACTAACAAATATCAACCAGTGAGCGCAGTGCCTCCAACAACCAAGGTGTACAAAAACTAACAAATGACCATCATGAGCTTCAGAGCTAGCAGCCCTTGTTCCCGTTTTCTAGGGATGCCATACATGCAACAAATGCACGGCCAGAAATAAATGTGAATCAGTGTTGAAAAGAGCAAGTTCGAAAACTTGAATTTGTAAACTTTATGTTGCCCCAACCCCACTTACAAAATTTCAACCACTAAAAAATTTCTTGGGAGAATCCTGCACTGAATAGCACCGGTTCCAGGGCATGCAGCATTAAATCATTACACTGTACCTCACACTGATGGCTCCTGTCTGTAAAAGTGCTAAATTATATATTTGTGGTTTCCAAGTATATTGCACATAAGGGTTTCTCATAGTTTAAGCACTTTTGAAACTAGGATTGTAATTTGCATTTTTAATATTAATTTGAACTTTCAGGGAAGTTTATCAGCTTAAGAAGGTTCCTAAGAACTCTCGATGCTTAGAGACAGCTAAGATTCTATTTAATGAGTCACTGAATGACGTAACAGTGTCTATGGCTTTGAATTTTCTTTTCAATTAAGCAACTGTATTATTTGCATAGGGGGTGGTTGCCTTCACTGAAATGTCCGAGCTCTTGCTCATAGTTTGAATGACACAAAACACAAGAGCATACCTCGGTTAAGCTTGCATCGAAGATAAAGCTCCAGGACATCTGTCTCTACAAGCTTTTCAATCTGCAAAGGCGAGGAATGTAAGTACAGGAGCACACTACAAGCACCAAAGTACTCCGTATTGAGTGACATGCCTCACCTCTGAAGACTCAAAGATGCCTCCACTCGGGCACTTGTCATCGGGACATGGTATATAGGCATTGCCATCACGGATGCTGACGGTCAGGTACTGACGCGTGCACTGCAACACAAATACACTTATGCTATGGAAAAGAAAAGCATGTGTAACGCCTTGTAATTGCAAAAATTCATACACAGGGGTTGTGTGCTTGAGCTACCATTTTGACAAGCGTTTTTCGAGGCTGTTCTCTGATGCTGTTGCAGCCTTGAAGAAGTCAAGTCTACTTGTCTGAACGTCGGCTTGAGCAGACAGCTCCTGTTTACAGAATTTTTCATTGAAAGCTTCCGTCTTTCCCTTCCTGCCATACGTAGATTTGTTACTAGAAAAATATTTGACAATTTGAGAATTTGTCATACTGAATGTATTAGAACATTGCAAATGTACAGAATTGGCCACATTAGGAACATCCTTTATAGCACTAAAGGAAAAAAAAAAAAAAGGTTGAATTCCATTTCATAGGAATCGTTCATATGGCAAAAGTGAAATACTTCTCCGTAGATGTAGCTGCAGCTCTGTCGGGTATGAAAAAATACGATTTGTGCGTATAATATGTGGATATGATAATAAGTTTTAATAAAGAGATGTGCGTGCCAACAGTTACAAATGATAGTAGATCAAAATGGATGAGACAATGTTAGAAAGACGTGGGCACATGCTGTCAAACTAAGTTTGGCAAGGTTGATAAGACCTAACAACAGCTGCCACAAAACCGATAAGGATCGATAAGATACCATTGTGTCTGGCGAGGTTCATTCGAACTTGATTGTAACGGCATTCTGAACCCTGTGTTCACTTGAGACAAAGAAAAATATCAGAGGCGGTTCCGGGGATCAATAAATCATGTGCACGAACACCGCAAAGACGAAACAAGCAAATAACTTGCACACCTCTAATAATCCGGCAGATTATATCATATGAATGCCGCTCTTCTGTACTCATGTGGACTCTGCATTTTGTTATGGAAAGACATGGTGATGGCACAACGTATGTACTTGAAGCCGCAGGGTGTGGTCTTTTGTGATTTATGTGCTTCTTTTTTGTATCCCTCAGGCCCCTATTTTGGTCACGTGACCCTTCTCGAAAGCGATTTAAAGTAACATTTGATTTATTTATAGTACTATCACGAGGGAAAGAAACACGAACAGCGGAAATTTCGGCCCAGTCGAATTCCAACACACCTTGAATGTCGCTAGACAAATCTGTGCTTTCAGCTGGCTTCACTGTATAGCGCTAGAGTCTTGTTAGGGCTGGCATTATCGTACTGTATTTGCTTATCATATGCCAGTCATGCCTGGCACATGGAGCACTACTGTGGTGCAACAGAACGAGCCAGAGCAAGATTTTAGTGTATACAGTAATACTGGCTGAAAGCACAATTTGGCCTGATAACAATGAAGGCATGTTGGAACTCGACTGAGCCAAAAGCCACACTGTTTGTGTTTCTTTCCATTGCAATAGTAAATCTGGCACTTGTGCTCTTAATGAAACCGAACTAGGAAAGGAGCCAAATGGAGCAACAACAATAGTCTTATTTTGCGCCTTCTGCTGCTGCCAACTTCAAAACCTATAAATCCTTAGCTAAACATACTGCTCATTTTGCGGTAGAGTAGCTTTTGGCAATATTTTGTGTTGCAACACCTAAAAGCCAGTGCAGTAGGTAGGCCCAAACGAACATGTGCTCAAACGCACCTGGAGGCAGAAATAGCATCCGCAGTGCGCCACTCGGTACAGAGCCGACGAGGGCACCACGGTCAAGCAAAGTCTGCACAGTGCCAGCAGGGGCCTCTGGGACGAGGCCTGCTCCACGTCGTAGACGCTCAGTGATCGCTGGGCTCGGGGCGCCTTGCAGCAGGCGCCAGAGTAGGTGTGCGACTTGGGCAGTGAGGCCAGGGGCACCGAGCCGTTGTTGCCAGTGGCCGCCGGCGTCTTACGGTCCCGCGATCGAGACACCAGCCAGCGGAGCAGCGAGCGGCGTTTTTCTCGGGGCTGTTGGGCCATCACCTACGTTTTGTTGAGGAAACAAACATTTTATTGTACAAGAAGACCTGCATGGAGAGAATGGTACACAATAATGCTAGCAAATCGAGGAAAGCGGTAGAACACAAATGCGAACACCTGCAGAAGAAAAAGAAGAGACCGACTTACAGTTCACTATAGCAATATTCAACTGCAAGTCCTAAAGATAACACCTTGATGTAGTTCTACTGACTTTCTAACAGTGATGAGGCTTGGGAGGTGGTTTAAAGAGATCGACCCTCCCTCTTTCCTATGCTCAGGATTAGTATGTGCTTCATTGTACCATGCCAAATGGATTCTTGAGTCTCCTTTCGAATGTTGCTGGTTCGAGTACAGAGAGAGAGAGGTTAATGAAAGAGGTAGAGATAAAAAGGACGCTATTTTCTGGCTCCCGTCGCGAAGGCACAGCTCAGCGCCTTTAGGGATGGGGGGGGGGGGGGGGGGGGGAAGTGACCTTGCAAAAGTGCATATCTGCCTAGGCTGTGACATCAGCCGTTGTACTCCCGCATACAGCTACCCAGCATGGCGGCGTTTTTTTAATACGTGAAAAGGGTTAATCTCGTATTATGAAGTTGTAGTCCCACCAAGAGAATAATTCTATAACGAGACTGCAGTACTTGTAAATAAATCAATGAACGAGCACAGCAAAAACACAAGTGTATTTCGTGTTATTGTATTACTCCGCACCACCATTCCACAACATGACGCCCTATCAACTCGCCCAGTTGTCAGTCCTATAGTAATAATTGACGTTTAACGCACCAAAACTGCGATAATGCTATGAGAGATTCCGTAGTGGAGGGCTCCGGAAATTTCTTCTACACAAAGTTGTTTAGCAGCACCTTATGTAAATTCTCGCCTCCAGCGAAAATGGATTTGATTCCATGAGTCAGCGGTCGAGCACCGTGACGGGTCAGTTCGGTTTAGATGCGCTGCAGCGGAATTTCCTTCGAAACAGCGCATGCAGATTCCATCCCCAGTATGGATGCGACTCTCAGCGGCTGCAGTCCGCTATGTAGTTAAACAGCAATAACTACAGTGCTTTTTAAAGGTAGTGTTCGCAGCGTGTGGAAATCAAGCTCATGGACTTGAATTATGTTGCTCTTGAACAAATCAGCGCTGGTAGTAAATCCATACAAACCACCAACTGCGCGCGAAAGAAAATAAAAAAGGGGAGGGAAAAAGGGAAGGTGCGAGAAATCGCCAAAGCTTTCTTTCTTTATTCACAAGTGCAAAGACACGTGCATGGCAAGGCTGTCTGTGAGGTTGTGCAAACTGCTTTCACTGAGGCAATTAATTATTTAACCGCCAAGCCATCCCATGTACGTTTGTACGGCATGTGTCTGACAAAGTGACAGAGATCGCATCACGCAAACTAGACAGCAAAATACATTATGTACATGCTAATTTTAAGGCCCGGGCTATTTAGAAGCTATTTTTAGTTGCACCTAACTGCTCTCAGTGGTGCTTTAGTGGACGTGAGGGGTCTTGTATGATGCATGCAAAGATGCGACGTGTATGCTTGAATATTTTTTTTTTCACTCATACGTGATCACTTTTAACATTTGGTGAGCATCTCGGGCTTCTGCCCAGATGCTGGTCTGCCGCCTTCTTTTCTTACACCCACACTTATTTAGGTGCTTGCTCCTTTTGCTGGGGATTGTCTCTCGTCGTTGCGCCGGTTTGTACGCTGGTGCTCATTGCTCCCGCGAAAAATGCAGCTGCGCGCTTCATTTCAAGAGCGCTCAATAGATGGCGTGCCGCTGCTCAGGCGACGCTTGCTCCACTTTAGGTGCCAGCTCCAGTTTGTTAAGAGACGCTTAGGTGGCCGCACCCATATACAGCGCTTGCTTTCGGCGCACTTTTTTTCTCTTTCGCTGGACATCACTCAGTACGCGTCGATACCACTACCCACTATAAACACCGCAGAAGGCAGGGTGGCGGTGCGGAGGGCTCGCAAGGCGGCTACAGCACAGGCTCGCCGTCAGGACCCTTCTCCGATTTCTCACTACATCCTATAGTTCAAGATCCTCTGGTTTTGTACTTTACAGATCACAAATTGAACCATTATACTAAAATAAAAACGTTCTTCCGAGCTTATGTGAACCGTGAATAAGCTCTGGAACAAAATGCATATACTGCATCAGTATGTAAATATCTGTATATAGTACATTGATATGTAAATAATACTCATTGTGCATATAACGTCTATATACAATTACATTACAATAACTCTCGAGTCATATTTATGTAATGATGATTGAGTATATGTACAGAAGATTCACAATTTACCGTATTTAACCTCTGGAGCAAGCTCCTTCATCATCATTCACTTCGTTGATATGCGGGAACTTTTTTATTTTATTTTTGCGTTACTTGTCATAAGTATTTATTCTATGAGTGGCAATTTTTTTTAAGGTGAAGCTTACATTGAGCCTCACAAGCCTTAAAGAGCGAAACTGGACGATTCTAGGGGCTAATCTGGTTGATTCTATACTCCGTCTCAGAAGTTCCCTTCAGCACTGTGGAGGCTACAAGCCCTTAGAACGAACACTGGCATCGCTGCAGTAGTGACGATGTGACGTCATGGCAAGGACTCGCCTGCTCCGCGGCAACACAAGCCGACAGTCCCTTCTTTCCAAGCGCGCCCCGTACCCACTCTTCCAGTATACAGTGGTGACTTCTCCGATCTCGCAAGGTACAAACTAAAGATATTTATTACTATCAAACATTAACTAAGGGGCTGAAAGTATCAATAATATAGCTTAGGATGAAGAACTCTCGTCTGAACAGATAATCCACTTTGAAAATGGGAGTGCACTGCAGCGAGACATTACAGAGTTTAAGAATTGGGGTCCCAAGGAGCTTGCGACGCGCTAGGGCGCATGCGCAGAACCAAAGCAATCTTTGGCGTTTGCATTCATGTTGACCCAAGGTTAAAAAATCAAAAACTAGGGTGGGCGAGACAAAGCAGACGCAGTGTGAGACACAGCGTTGTATGGCCCGCGTCACGAATAATTTTTAATTTGGGCACAGGTGGTACGCCGTGCATTTGACCCAAGGTAGTTTGCATTTGACCCAGTTCTCAAACTCTGCTGATCCTCCGAACGCAAGAGCAACCTACGCAACGCAGCTTGGGGAACCAGTGCCTTGGGCGCCCTTTTCTCAAACTCTGTTCACCATGGTTTCACGAAATTGGTGCTAAAAAAATATTCGTGCTAGATGGGTCTAACCTATTACAACTTGGCATAGACGACTACCCAATTAAACATACGTGTCGAAGTATTACAAATTAGGATGTTTTGAATTTATTAACAGCACCTGTGACTTGCAGAGCAAGTTATGTCTGCCCCAGCAAATAATATATGTCATTTGACAGAATTCGGCTTTCTGATGCAGGAGACTTTAGATGAATCTGTCTGTCATACGCAATCACTTATAATATTCAGAAAATTAAAGTAATGTTGCAACCCACAGATTGGTTTCCAGGATTCTGAGACGTCGGTATACTCGAATCTTATGTACATATTTCTTCTCAACAGTCGTCCGGGATTATGTAGTCACATACACTGAATTATGCAAACAGCTATGACTCAATCCACCGCCACGTCATAAGCTGTAATGCTCAGTATACGTGGGAGCACTGATGATAGCAATCGTTTGCAAAACAAACCCCATTAAGTCAAAATAATGATTCAATGACTCAATCAGCTTCGTGGCCCGACATGATAATGAAACGTCCTTTGCCTCAATGAAGCAACGATTAGTCTCGCACGTTGTGTCCATATACAGGTTGATGCTGCTCAGGAGTAATCAACTGTGGGAAAAATTCTTCAGGCGACTGTTTAAACTGGTACTTACACGAGCGTGATAGCACAGTTGCTATATGATGCTGCGCCAAGACACTATCTGACAGCAGAAAAAGTTTCTGCATTCTGGTACTTACACGAGCGTGATAGCACAGTTGCTATATGATGCTGCGCCAAGACACTATCTGACAGCAGAAAAAGTTTCTGCATTAACCTCAATTTGCTTTTGTAGGTTTTGGGTTCACAGGGGGCAAGCACCTATTTTTCGCTGGTCCTCTTGGAAAATTGTAGTTTTCCTTGTTTTTGCTTTTGCCTGAAATAAACTTCTACTTAGAGAGAAAAATTAAATTATAGAGAAAAAACAGCAACTTATAACGCGATGAATGCGCAACTAGACAGGAAGACCTAATGCTGCAGTAGTACTCTCGGGCGAGTGCATTCAAGATATTTTGAGACACTCTATACTGAGCACATGCACGGAGCTTGGCACACAGGCAGCAGGTACTCGGATGCGTCTGATAGAAACAAAACCTATGGAAGCGATACAATCACATAATTTCTCGCCCGTGAATAATGCAACACTAAATGCAAATATGTTGTCGTATACGTTTCAAAGGCACTACATGATTGTGAGGCATGCAGTAAAGTAATTGTGACCACCTCGCATTTTTAAACGTGTTTATGGGCGCTGCCACTTAATCTTTTTTAACTACAGTTACCGGCGATTACCGATATAACAATCATAAATGTGATGAAGAATAAACATTAGTTGCTGGTGTACAGACGAAGATGCTGAACAAGGGCAAATGTCTCAACCTGGCCAATCGCAAGCCAAATGCAAGATACTGGAACTATATATTTTTCTGCGCAAGCATGTGGCTTCCTTAGACCCCGTAGCTTTGACAGTGCTGAACCGTCATGGTGAGACAGAGCATAGGTTGATTCTCAGCGCAGAGAGGGTCGAGTTAAACATATATACACACATTACTGCCTTTCAAAGTTTCGGCGCAAGACGTGAACAAGTATCACGCTGGACACTTCGACAAAGTTGCCTGTCTGCTTGAGTTAATGAACTTTCACAAGGCTCCAACTGAGAGTGACAGAATTGGAAGAGAGCGCCCATTAATGTATCGCAGGCTGGCGTGACAGCGGAGGTGCAACCTCTTTTTTTTTTTTTAGTGGACCAGCGGTGAGTCGTGCGATTTGGCCAACCACGTCGTGCGCGCGTGCATAGTTTCACTGCACGCGCATGGTGTCTCGGCATATGGACAGTCTCGCCTGTTTTTTTTTTCCTGCCGCCACCATCATTCACCGTATATGTATACGTATTTATATGTGCGAAAACTTAAAAAGAAAAAAAAAAAAAAGCCGCCACGCTGGGCGCCAGCTTGTCGCGATGCGCCGACACGCGCTCATTCGGCCTAGAGATGTCAAAATACAAAGAAATGGATGCTTACCGTCAACTCGATTTTCGAGGGCTCACTTTACGGCGTTTCCCTTGCCCTCTGACGTCGGATGGCTGCCCAATGAAATGAACTTAAAGCTCTACCATACAGAAAGCTCACATGACATATTGCCTGTTGCGTCCAGCATATTAGGGACGGCGTTGCGATGGTAACAAACAATGTGCACTTGAACAGGAAACGCAAACGCTTCTATAATGTTTTGTAGCTTTACTGATATTTCTTTTTGCAATGACGTGTATGTATAAGCGTATCAGCCCCCCCCCCCCCCCCACTGAGAAAAGTAAGGGGGGGGGGGGGCTGAGCCTCTCCTCCCCACTTTTGACAGTGGCCACTGTCAGTCAGCTGCCCGCTGGGGAAATCAACAACTAAGACGAAGTTTTCCATACCACAGTAATCACTCAATCATATATTTACGAGGAAATGGATATGTTACCAGGGAATGTTTTAATAAAGTAAAATGTTTCCTAAATTTCTGCTGCGACGATTGTCCTTGAATGTTTATGGTTGTGCAGGCCGCCTATGCGACTCTTTCGTTCTTTGTACTGTAGCATTTCAAAGCGGGCTACAGTTACACATAATCAAAAGAGTGGGGAAATACATTGTTTCCTTAAATGAACAGCCTTGGGCAAACAGGTGGATATTTAGGTTTGCACTGGTTAGGAAAAGCAATGACTATAGTCATTTGCGTAGTGTGTATATATATATATATATATACATATAGCCCCTTAAGTTTGGGCGCTCTCGTGGTAACCCCCTGAATGTGACGGGAACCAAAATAAGCATGGGAGGGTAACATGGTTTGACGAATATGACGCGCTGGTCAAGACATGAATAATGTCACAATCCTGTCGCGTATGTCGTCAAACACTCCCCGCCAGACGGTGGCACATACCTAGGATTGGGTATGAGCCGCTGGTATGCGGGTATGTGCCACAGGTAATTGACACTTAGTATCTACCCAGGAGCGACGAGAACACATGCACATGGGCAATTTTAACGCACGAGCGTCAAGAAATACCCGACATCGGTATCGTCGGCGCGACTGAGTTCAAAAAGTAAATGTCAAGGTCCCAGCTGGAATGAAACCCAAGCATTCTGCGTGACAATGAAGCATTTTACCACAGAGCTACGCCAGGTCTCGGAACTACTTTTCAAATCAACACCAATCTTCGTGAAATGTCAATAGTGGTTGCAGTGCTGCCTACTTAATTTTGTAAACATTACATATGTATTCCTTTCATACATCCGTCACGTCGGGTTAACGTATATTGTGGTTAGTTGCCATGCGCTGAAGTTTATTTAGTAGCAGTGTCCAGGGCCAGCATCCTCGCGAGCATCAGTGCTTCATATCAGCTTCTGGTGTTCCTAATACTCATGTTCCAGTTGGCATCGTTGCGCAAGTGCAAACAACTAGTTATATAAACATCTGTAACTCTTCAACATATATGTCTGTGCGTGCAACATTTGTACACATAGTTAGCGTCATTTTATGACGTGTCGCTCATTAAAAAAATTGCAGCATGGTCACCTTCTCTCCGCATGCTTCGCATAACGTTGATTCCCAGGTACGTGGGATCTTCCGAACTTTTTTTCTTTTAGTTTCTTCAAATAATGGCGCCCGGAGCGTCGCCGGCGCGTTTCCTCCAGCACATGACGTTCGGCGCATTGTTTGGCCAGCTTAGCAGTTTTCAAACTGGAAAAGTCGGAGAGCTTTATTCTCTGTCACTTTGAGTGAAAAATCGTGCTCGTGAAAAAATAAATCCAATAGCAATACCTATTTTGATGCAATGCAGCGATCAACGTTACATTCATCCAATCGTATGGCGGCAACCTTCGGCGTGATTTTGCTTGCAGTAGTTCTGGTCATGACCTACTACACTCCTGACCTGTTCAGATAGCGGGGTTCCTATGGGAGCGCGTGTCCCCGCTCTCGTTCAATCGCTCGCCGTAGGTGGCGCTACCTATAACCTGTTCGTCTGCTTCTTTACGGTTGTTTTGTAGGCGCTGGTATAAGAATGCCTGCTTTCTGTGGTGAACTGTCGGCATATATGTGACTATTTCTTCCCATACATTGCTGGTCAAGTAAGCTGTTCAGTGCGCTTAAGAATTTATAGCACACTGGTTGACAAACGTGGAAACCCGTGGATTTACATGATTTTGGACAGCCTATGCGTTGTCGCGTGCATTTTATTGCAAAAAAAATTCTGAATGTCTTTTAGTATTATTATTTCTGGATATTTCTAAATTGTGGATCATAAATTCGCACTACGAGTGCTTTGTTGGTTAAAATTTGACTACAAAGAGTGAAGGTGACGTCAGCGAACAGGTGCTGCCTAGCGCCACGCCGCTCGTAGGTGACGGCCCTAGCGGCAGAAGGTATGAACTAGAACGTGGGCGCTGGAAGAGGTGCTCTCTGGGCAGGTCAGGAGTGTAGTAGGTCATGGTTCTGGTGAGCGCCACTACGAGTTATGCAGCCGGCACCGATGTTTTCAAGCGGGCCCCTTTAATGGATCAGCGGCGGCGGATTTTGTGATTGGGGCCTTTTCTGGCTCGCTATCGCGCAGCTTGAGGTCAGGCGTCTTTCGCGACATATATGCGGCTGCGGTCATTGGCATCTTGATTTCGGCCGTTTACCCGACCCTCATTGACCTTTTACACGAAGAAAAAAAAAAAAAACGCCCATAAGGGATGCGCCTGTGGGTTCTGAGGTATGTTAGGCTTGAAAGAAAAGTAAAAAAATGCAAACATACAGAAGATACGAAAAACGTGCAACCTATTCAGCAACCTCAATTCAACGAGTGTTTCGTATGTTAATGCAAACAAAAAAAAGCGCAGGAAGAAACGCACTATCCGGGAAAACGAGGCGCAGTTTCGCGAACCTTGACACTAGGAAATCGTACGAAACGTATCAACGAGGTCCAATGAATCACTGGCGTTTTAGTATACCTCGGGCACGCGGCAGAGTATCAAGCTAACGGCAACAACGAGGCTACCTCTCGAATGAGACCGCTAAACAAGAAATAATAATAATATGTGGGGTTTTACGTCCCAAAACCACGATATGATTATGAGAGACGCCGTAGTGGGGGACTCCGGAAATTTCGACCACCTGGGTTTTTTAAACGTGCGCTGACATGCCACAGTGCACTGGCCTCTACTATTTCGCCCCCATCGAAATGTGACAGCCACGGCGGAGATCGAGCCCGCGGCCTTCAGTTCAGCAGCCTGCACCTTAGCCACTATTCCACCGAGGCGGACGTTAAAGAATAAAACTCGAGGCACATGCGCATCGTGAAGCCAACCAGGAGTGCAACTGCCGAGTCCTGAGGTTATGCACCCTGCGATCAAGTACGCAGCATGTTAAGTTACGTCAAAAGGGGTCTCCTACGCAGCCCAGACGCACACACACGGCATTGTGTGCGTCCGGAAGCGGCGAATCCGCGTGTGACCTCGCACAGCTGCAAGGCAAGCAAGCCAGGAGGGCAATGCAAACAGCCCCTTGAACTCGGGAGTGGCTATTACCCAAACTGCGCCTAATTTGCACACTGCAGTAGTGGCCTGAAAGGCCCTTACGAACACGAAAGTTCCGGGAATGCGTCGCCAAACCTGTTAGACAGGAAGCTGCGGGCAGTCCTGTTCGCAACACAAACATCTGCGGATGACTCACGCGCGTGCGTCACTGATAGCGCGCGCTGTTGTACGAGGATCCCGAGGAATCGAAGAAACCGATTGCGCGCGCACGATTAAGGGTTCTCCCAATCGCTGTCACACGGCGAGCGATCTCGTAGGCGACGCTGACACAGCTACTCGCTCCACCAGCCCAAGATGGTCTCCGGCGTTAGGACTAACGCTTCGACCCGGGTTTTTTCGGATGGGTGGCCACTAACCTCGGCTGCGGCGGGCTCCTCCTTGGCTGTGCTTGGGCGACGACGACTGCAAGCGGCGCTGGAATGACAAGGAACGCATGCGTTCTCGCCGACCACACCACGATCGCACAGTGTCGGCGGGCTGCACGATGTGTTCACGTCAAGTTCCTCCGGCGACCGATAGCGCACTCCCGACGATGAAGGGACTCGCACGTACGCACCACACACGCACGACCTACAGCTGAATCCGTCTGCGAGTTGCGAGGTTCCGACTCCGCACACGCATAAGTGATCTGTGGCACACGGCACTAGGACACCCTCTCCACCACCGGTTTTATCCGCGTGCTCTCCCACTGCGTTGCTATCACGTGACTACTGCGTCACCGGGCCGTTGTTGTTGCTCGTTTGTTTTGGCGCTCTCTTCTCGCAGGAGGGTCTCCCCCGTCGCGGCGCATTCTGCGTGCTTTGTGAGGCTCCCATGGAAAACAGGTTCGCACGCAACGGGAAAGGCAAGTCACGCGAAACCGTCACGCCCTGACGTTCACGACGACGGCCACCGAAAACACAAAAAAACAGACAGCCTCGGGAAGGCGTCTGCCTAAGGCCACACGTGTGCATTCAAACCGATGTGAGGCATGCAGTGTCGTGGTTTACAAGGGCATCGTTAATATCAGTAATCTGGAAGCAGGGCAACCTTCGGTTTCCGTCGAAGGCGATCATTCTTATTTCTGCGAGCATCTGTTTGGTTGCTTCTCGCGTTCGAAGCGAACCACCAGCAGGAATTGTCTTTTGAGTTGTTTCGAAATACTTAAAAGGCGCTGGGTACTGATCCATAAGTTATGTAAGCGTTAAGTGCACGTACGTAAGACGAGCGAAGGACACGGGACAAGCGCCGTGAATGCATCGATCAGCAGCGTGTGCATCGTACCGTTTCGCACCGAAACTTGCCTTCCCCCACATGACTTCGAAGCTACTCGCCATTTAGAGTATTTTGCCAGCTACTGAGACAGCCCTGTTCACCGCAGAGTCGAGCAATTCCACAAGGAACGCCACTTAATGCACCGAGTTGATGAGCCAACTGCAGGTTTTGTTGCAAACACCCAAGCAGGCATTGTGTATAAGTTCGCATCTGCGATGGAATGCATATGGCAGTGTTGATGTAGCATATCATCATCATAATCCTGTCTACGTCTACTGCAGAGTAAAGGCCTCTCCCATGTTCCGCCTGTCAACTCGGTCCTGTGCTTGATGCTGCCATTTTATACCCGTAAACTTCTTAATCTCATCTGCCCACCGAACTTTCTGTCTCCCCCTAACCCACTTGCCTTCTCGGGGAGTCAATGACCAGCGATGTAGCATATGATGCATTACAAATCTACTAAATTAGTCGAGATAAACAGTAATGGGAAACTGCGTGCGCCGGATCGTCATCACTGAGCGTTTTGAGCTATTCTGGGCTGGTCGGGAACCGAACTTTTGTGCTTGGGATGATGTGCTCACGCGATGCTTGCATTAACGTTGCTATAGAACCATAACGTTGCATTTCCTTCGTATGTGTGCACGTGCGTCACGCAGCGCACTTCCGGAATGTGCCACCAACATGCCCGGGTACCTACCGCTGCCGTGTTGTCTCCTCGTGCTTGCGCCCGTTTAGTTTTGCCCCACGATGCAAGTTTGGGGGCTGCTAGTGAGGCAACTTGATTTAGTAGTCCCCAAAGAGGAAGCAGAGCTTCGGGGTGTTTCTTCGCCGAAAGTTATTACCTAAAATTGAGAACGAACATTTGGATTTTCCGAAAAGTACCGGCGTGTTTGGCTGGCGCGGATTAACAAAAACTACTTGAAGAAACTCGGTGATATTTGTGTCTTCAGGTGTAACTTCATTCCGGGTAAGTGCCACAGCCAAGCACTTACCTGCCAACAGAGATAGCTTACCAAGATACTGTACATACAAACTTGTCCGCGGTCACTGCGTGCACAATCAGCGTGTCAGGGAGGCGGTTAATATCGTGATGGCGATCGCGGAAATTTGGGTATTGCATTGAAACAAACTGTGAAAATGGATGCGAGGCAATATTAGTTCACTTTGAAGTATAGCCGATCTGTTCGAGTTGGGGGGTCAGGGTTTTTAAAAATTGGTCAATTGATTCCCCAACACGGTCTCCATCATTCTCAGGGACTCCACTGTACATTAGCGTACAACAAAAGTAAAATACAAGGTGAAAGAGATGTCAAAACATACGCGAAAAAAAAAAGTGAAGACCGGCATTACCGCGGTACGCACCACGCGAAGTCTCTATCTGCCTCGCCTAATATTTTCCTCGGCTGTTTCCACAAATTTTAATCAGAGAGGCTCAACATCAGCACTGTTTGATACACTTGGATGGGGCGGGGGAAGCACTGCTGCTTTGGTGGCGTGGGCCGCAGCAATATAACAATGTTATATCTCTTGTAAACTTGCCTAGCTCTGCACGACTCGTTTTTGATGGGAGCTGCTGCGCTTCGCTCATCCACTCTTAAAATTGCGGCTCGAGGCTTTCATGTGTTCCTGGGCCACGCAATTTGTAGTATTTGTTGTGAAAGCGAGATAATGAGCCCTCGTAGGTCGTGGCGGGCAGCCGGTGTACGCAGTGACTGGTATACGTGTCGCACATTCTGATTTTCTGGTCTTGTATCGACTGAACA